ATATATATATATATATATATATATATATATATATATATATATATATATATATATATATATATATATATATATACATATATATATATATATATATATATATATATATATATATATATATATATATATATATATATATATATATATATATATATATATATATATATATATATATATATATATATATATATATATATATATATATATATATATATATATATATGTGCAGAAAATTTAAATAATTGGGTAAATATTATTTTTATTATTTTAGAGGTTATTTGACCTTTGAAGTGGTAGATGGCAGTGAAAAGGCGGTGGGAGGGCAAAAAGCAAAGTGTCTGGAGCAAAAGTTCGAACTTTTCAGCGAAGAAAGCGGGGAGGGAGAGGGAGGCGGAGAAGATGGCGAGGAGAGCGGAGGAGGAGTACGACTACCTCTTCAAGGTGGTGTTGATCGGCGACTCGGGAGTGGGCAAATCCAACCTCCTTTCCCGCTTCACCCGCAACGAGTTCTGCCTGGAGTCCAAGTCCACCATCGGCGTTGAATTCGCCACCCGAACCCTCCAGGTGTCGGATCCCTCTCACCCTGCCCCTCCACCGGTGCCTTCTGTTTCCCCCGGATTCTTCTTGCTCCGTTGGACCTTTCATCTCGATCAAATGATCCGATTCTGGCTTCTTCTGCGTGCTCTTCTGGATCTCTTCCTCGATCGGGTTTCCTGTTCCGGAAATGATAGATCCATTCCCATCTTGATCCGGTGGATCTCTGAATTTGGGACATTGGTTCTTCGAGAAAAGAGTGTTTTTTCTCCTTTTTGATTATGGATTTTGAGCATTTTTTCATTCTTTTTGTTTTTTAACCCCTTCCACTCTTCTTTTGGAGTTCATGGTCACGATTTTTTTATTGATGTTACTTTTCTCTTTCCCTCAATTCTCGTACTTTCTGGTTTCTTCCATCTTTTTCTTCGTTCACTTTTTCTTTTTCTTATCCAATACAGAAAACAAAATTGGAAATTTAATTGACGTTTTCATGCGACAACTTATAATTCTGTGGATGACTCCCTCAAAAATTCTAAAAGTACTAGCGTACCAAAAATCTAGTGACGAGAGCATAATTATTGGCAACTAAAGCAAATCAGTGCAATTGGGTTGAACTTAAAAAAGCGTTTGAATGGAGCTTAATTTTAGCATTTTATTCTAGATGTTCATGCCTATCTAGGCTTAGTTTGCATCTGGTCTATATTTTAATTGGATGCAAGTCATTTTTGTTGATTGTTGTAAACTCATTTTTCTTTCTTTAGTTTGACATGTGGCTGATATTATTTGCTTAAGTAGAAGTAGAAGTTAGACCTGCGGATGCAATTGTTAGGGTCCAGTTTACTTGTTGATGAGAATTCACATGATGAAGATTTCACCTTATTCTAAATAGACTTTAGTTCAAATAGGAAAATGGGTCTCAAAGTGTCCATTTACAGGGACGTGTGATGTTGCATTAAAGTACTTTTTATGGTATATCAAAAGTACCTTTTTAAGAAGAGAGAAAGAGTAAAAAAAGGTTTTCGTTTTTATTTTTGTCTTTCAATACCAAACAAACCAATAGTTTCTCCATCAATAGGTTCATAGAAAAACTCAATATAGACAATTTGATCATGATCCCATTATTCATATTTGGTATGTACCCTTTTAGATGGAGAGAGAACGATTCATACCGAGGTAAATGCTTGTATGATTCAATATTACATGCAAAGTCTGACTTATATATATATTTTTTAATAAAAGCTTTTATGGTTGGTTGGCCTAGTTATATTTCTTTCTATTTTATTGTTCTTCTTGTGTACAATCTTATTTTTCTTTCTTGTGATCCTTTCTGATCTTCCATACTTTGTCCTCAAACTTCCTACGTTATATATAAGTTTTATTTGACATATTTGTTGCATTAATGTGGTGCCTTTAGGGGGTGTCAGTTCTTGACTCAACATGTGTCCTAATCGAATTACAAATCTGGGTGGTTTTGGATCATTCATTAGATAAAGTGATTAGCCTGATTAGAAAATGAATTCAATTCAGGTTAGGGAGTTGACACAACTGACTTGAATTGACGTACATAGTGATTACCTGCTACTTCCATTTGGTTTCATGTAAATTCATAAAGGGAAGTAGTTCTCGACTTCAGTCCAGTCCCATGTAGAGAACACCCTTTTTCTTTCTCTTTTTTTTTCCTTTATTTTCCAATTACAAGCCTTGAGATGGAGCCACTGGATAATGCTAACTTTGATGGCACATCTAGTTTATCTTTAAGATATGAGAATAAATATAGTGAATCCTGTGGCCTGAACATCGTATATTCATCTTTTGGAATTGTTTTTAGTATTTCTTCCTACTTTGAGCAACAATTCTTTTTTATTTTTGGGAGGTAGATACTACTGCTCCTAGTCATTTGCAGATTTGGGAAGAGATCCAAAATCTTTTGTCTTAATACATTATTAGGTCTTAAATATATGTTAATATTTACATGTTACCTTTCTGAGATCTTCAACAGAAACATGTAATCCTGATGAAGATTTAAACTTCAATCCACTTTTCAGACATTTATTTTTTCATAGTCCACAATGACTTCAATCTTGATTTCCCTACTCAACTAATTACTAGTATTAGTAGTGCCTGCAGAGAGATTATGTTCTAGTTGCTAGATATAACTTTTGAGTAAGTGTCAAGATCAATCTTTGTTTATTACTTTAGAATTGATGGATGCATTGGTTACTTATTGTACATTTCAGTGATAGCCCTGTTGGAACGTAACTAGAAGATTGAAAAAGAAATACTTGTGGAAGATGCTGTTTCAAACACCTAATAGTTTGTAAAGTTTGACATAGCATGACTCAGAGATTCTTGACATAATAGAATGCTTTAACAACTAGATGGCAGCCTATTGATTTCTTGAAAGATGCACAAAGCTCCTGACAATGCAAGGTCTAGCAAGGATCAATGCACGCAACCTAACTGTGTTGAAAATTTGCTATTGATTTCCATAGCTAGGGTCAATGCATGAAGCCTATTGATTTCTGTTAGCCTCTTGAATTTCTTCATATTTAAAATTTGCTACATGCTCCAAAAGTTGCCAACAGCCATATGTGTTATTAACTTCCCAATGAGATTGTAGATTATTTTTTCTTCGACTGCTTTGCAATAATAATAGTGTTATTATTATTATAAATTGAAATGTGAAACAGAATCAGTTTATGATTTTCTGCAGAACAACTGGATCATAGACTATGAATTACTATTTTGCTTTGGGTAGACTGATGTGGAAAGAGAGAAATTGCATCGATATTGATTTCTCAGCTTGGATTGCTGTATTGTAGCACTGGGCAAGTTAATACCTTTTAGGTATAGTTTGAATCCATGGTGTGCCAATCAACATGCCTTTGTGCTGGCCAACGCCGTTTAAAAATTGATCTAGCCATATGCCTGCATCCTTGGCATTGTTTTGCATGATGAATGTTGATATCTCTTTGGATGGTACATTTTTATCACCACTAACATGTAACTATTGACACAACAATCCTTCTTTCTATGCAAGTGGATACTTAATGGTCAAATTAGAATTATAATCTTTAAGTCATGGTGGCTAACTACTTTGAAAATCCCTGGTTCGTATAGAGGACATCAATTTACTTGTTATTGCTTTTTAGTTCAGAATGTATTGACCAATAAATCATTTTATTGTCCAAACTTGCTACATTACGTGTGCATATGTACTTTATATATTTTCATGAGTAATTCTATGCAACAGCCTTTTTATTTGTGAAGCATTTGTTTAGGTGAATCTCCAGCTTTCCAAGTGATTCATGTCTTGACATCCTTCTTTTGTATATCTAGAAGGATCATACATTAGACAAACATGTTGTGACTTGTGAGTGAAATCAAATAATGACTCTGGCTCTGACGTTGATGCTTTTTGGTATTACTAATTGTAGTGAATTAAGTATCATCAATTGTTGCATTACATCTGAATGTCCCGCTCCATTTGAATCATTTTCAGTTTGCACATTGTGAATATCTTTACCTATCAGCTACCCTATTGACATAGTTTCCTCAAGCTCAAACTCCATTTCCTGGTGTTGTTTCGTTGATTTGCATCACTTATTTTGTTTCTTTCATCTTTACTGCCTTTTCAAGGTTGAAGGCCGGATAATAAAATCCCAAATATGGGACACAGCAGGCCAGGAACGATACCGGGCAATAACAAGTGCCTACTACCGTGGGGCCCTTGGTGCTATCCTAGTGTATGATGTGACCAAACCAACCACATTCGAGAATGTCAGTCGATGGCTCAAGGAGCTCCGTGACCATGCTGACCCTAATATCGTGATCATGCTCATCGGTAACAAGACCGACCTCAAGCAACTCCGTGCGGTGGCCTCGGAGGATGCACAAAGCTATGCTGAAACGGAAGGGCTTTCTTATATCGAGACATCTGCCCTTGAGGCAACGAATGTGGAGCAGGCATTTCAGTTGATTCTTGCGGAGATATATCGAGTCATCAGTAAAAAGAACATCTCTTCCGATGAGCCTGGACCTGGAATTGCTGGAAGTGTTAAAGAAGGGAAAACCATTGTGGTCTCAGCATCAGAGTCCAACACAAAGAAGCAATGCTGCTCAACATAGTAGCGTTCGTCCTCACCCTTGTTATTCATATGCTTTTAGTTCTGGATGTTAATTTGGGGATTATAATATTGGGTTATGATTTCTTGTTCTCCATTCAACATCAGATGATTGCTCGAGGCTCTCATTTCTCTGATGTCTTCACATACATTTTATTACTTAAAGAAAGGTTTTTTTGTGCAGATTAGCATTCTCTTAACATAAGTATTTACCTAAATATTTTATAGTTAGTGTGAGTTATACTCCTTCAAAGTTGATATTTGCGAGTATCTTACAACAAGTTTAATTAAATAAATGTGATATCTAACCTAAATCAGAGATTGTTAATATAGTTAGTATGGAGGATTTTGGTTCAAGTTTATAATATTATGGAAAGTACAGAAACAAGTATGAAATATAGATATTATCAGATATAATGCACCCTTATTCTGAGGGGTATACATATACTAAAAAAAAAGAAGACTAAAACTTGATATAAGAATGTATTAGTTATAATTAGATAAGCTCTTTCAAAAGACATTATCACAGCAATAAGACCAAATCTAACTGCTACAACCTTCTCCTCTATATCATCAAGGACACAATGAGATTCTTGTATCAGCTGTGGCTGGGAATAGTGTGTTGTCCTTCACACAGCAAGATTCTTGAGCTCTATCCACATCATGCATAAGCACATCAGTATCCATCCCCCTCACTGCTGATGTGTTGGAAGGACAAGGGGGAGAAATGCAAGGAGGAGCTTTGGGTTGATGGAGTTTGGACTCTTAGCCTTCCTGGTGTGGGCAAATAGAGGTTTAAGATAAGATTATGCAGTGTGTGGAAATGATCAGTAGCTGATTGAATATTATCTTCGAGTTTCTGCATGAAGATTTATTCTGCCATTTATCGGAAAAAGTAACATTTGTTGCTGAAGATTGTTCAGCATCAATCCATTCAAAGCTTGAGATAAAAATGGAAAAATTACAGACACATTGTAGCCTCAACCAAACCTAATTCCTGCTGCTGGAAAGAGGAAAGATGTTCTCTTGATGCAAGCTTCAGCTCCCTGTATTCAGATTTCTGGTGACAACATGGCGGATGAGCTGATACTTGAATTATAACTTTACAGAGTAATTGTTGCGGTGGCAAAAAGTTCGATACAAGTTCGTGCACCACATGACAGTGGTCTCACCAGAAAACACAACAAAAAGATGACAGTAAATATTCTGAGGACAACTGTATCTTGATATGTTCATTCAAATTGAATCTTGAGAATATGATTTACATGATAATTTGCAGTTCTGAAGAGGTCAAGTTTCTTATTCAGATATTGAAAACCCAAACACTCTGCCCATATACATCTGTGCATACACCACCCAATAAGTAACACAAGACTCTCATCATCCTTGGAACTTCCAGGAAGAAGATACAATTGGCAGAGAGTAAAGGAAAGGTGGAAATTCTTTAACTGCAAACAGAATTCAGCTTTTAACCACCAAAAGCTTCTACAATGTAGTGCCTGATTCACCGATTATGATCCAGATGGTCCTCACATCTGCTAATTCAACAAACCATGTACCATAAATACTTTTGAGTAAGTTAGAATTTTCTTCTGCCGATTCTGCCACAAAAGTCTTTCCCCTAATTATCCTTCTTAAAAGTTCTTTTTGGTCTTGACTTTATCAATGCGTGCTTTGCGAACCGCCTGTTGGATCTGCCTCTCATGTTCCTTGAGCATATCTTCAACATTTCCTCCTGGGGGCATCAGTGGTCCAGAATACTGGATTTTCTTGTTCCTAGTACCATAAACCTGAAATTTTGGCAAAGTGTGAAAGCACTTGGTAAAATAAACTTGTCAGCATATAAATCTATGCTTGTTTTCATGCTCATGGACGAAGTAAAGAAGAAAAACTTGGTCATGGTGAGAGAAAATTGTCTTATCCAAGAGAAATATACGACCATGCTTCCAATCAGGTTTTAGGAACTGTTGAAGTTGCATGCATCTTCTATTTGGTTAGATATGGAAACCATGTGTTCTAAAGCTTATCCAATTTCAGGATGCCATGATTCAATGGATAAAAAATCACAAGGTTCACTTTTCATGCATGTTGAAATTTATTGACACATACAACTAATTCAACAACTATAAATTAAGCAATTATCATCAAGTAGAACATACGATTGTGGATTCTTTGCTCACTGTTCTGTCATCTTTCTTGTGTGTGGAGGCAGCTCGATCAAGTATATGCTTGTCAGAGGACTCGGTCACATCAAGCCGATTGTATCTGGAGTTTGCAGTGGTTCTTGCTGCTACTGAACCCGGGATGCCATCAGCTCCTGACAAATGAATGTATGATCTCTGTTTCTGCAACTGAGAGTCATTTGACACTCTAGCCGAACTCTTTGATGGTCCAGGAACCCTCATCTCTTCCTGATTCACTTTCTTAGTCAATGTGGTTCCATATCCACCAGGGTGCACACCCAATTGATAGAAGCCATTTTGTGCTGTTCCTACTGCAGAGTCAATTGGAAACCCGGACCTCCTCTCAGCATCTTGTGCATTATATGCCTGTGCCTGTTGCTTCTACAGCAGCAGTAAAAAAGAAAGGGATAAATTAAACCATTGGAATCCATAGAAAAGCCTGGTCAGTTGTCCCAAAAATTACATTCGGCAGGATCTGATGTTAAAGCAATGAATGACTGCATAAAGCACGTGGAACTCCCTTATGGTAAATTATGCACTCTTAAGCATTACATAAATGGAATAAAGGCATGTTAACTCTAAAACTCTAAACACCATGGCAGATGCAACCAAGTGCAAAAGCTACAGATAAACATGAAAAGATGATGTATGCCATGAGAAAGAATTGATGCCTGGGTGCTCTGTTGGCCCATGAGAAGAAAGGAAACGGTCTCATATAATTATGATGGCAGAGTTGGCACTCCAACCATGTCTCTTATTTTTCTTTTCACATGACATCAGTAACAGAAGTCTCAAATCACATTGCCAAACGCAAATGAATTCTACCTGCAGCTCCATATTTGCATCAGGCATTGCCATTCCTTTGGTCTCTTTTCTCCCTGGTCTTGCAGTCTCCGACCATCCCTTGGTAGCTTCTGCTCTTTGTCTGGAGAAGGTCATAGAGCAGAGAGCGACTGAAGTCAATATCCAGTATAACAACATATATATCTTCCAATAGTTTCTCTACCCTAAAAGGAGAATAAGAAGCATTATCATACATCATTTTTAAAATCAAAATACCTGCGAATTTCCTCATCCCGAAGTTTAACATCATACTCCTTGCTGGGTGGATATTTAGGCAAACTAGAAGGGTCGCAGGCAAGTGGTTTAGTTCTAAAGAACTGAAAAGTACAAGTTGAGGTTAGTGATCACAATATTATCAAATAGCATATAAGTCTATTTCAGAATATCAAAATATAACTGGTAACCCTGACACTTGCATGTTTAAGGAAAGGACTCAATGATGAAATTCTTCTGAAACTTGATTGAGATTTGGCTACTTCAAAGACAGATATTTAGCCACATCATATAGCTTAAAAGAATATCAAATAGTAGAGGTACTGGCCAAATTGTATTCTGATCATTATAATTGTAACGCATAACGAGAAGCTAAACAAATTAACCACAATATGAATCAACAAGAAATAGTAGAAGTTAATAAACATCATCTCTCAGGTTCCTTAACATTTGCAAGGAAACAATTTTTTGGAAATAATAGAAGCAGTGAAAGTTTGTCACTGAAAATGTCCCAAATAAAAATAAAATATGACACCTTACATGAATGGTTATATCAATGAAATCAAAACTTACTTCACTTTCAAGGGCTGAAGCTGCTGTTCCACGATTTTCCGGTTCTATTGCAAGAAGGGTATCTAACAGAGTTAAAGCTGAAGGAGGAAAATCCTTGAATGTGTCTGCAAAACAGCGTTTATATTGGTGCTGAGGTTTGAAAATAGTTGCATGCGGCAACTTTGATTTCTTCCAGTACTCATCTGATGGTGATCCTAGGAGCTTGAAAATCTTGTGCAGTTGTTCCACCTGCACAGATTGATCCACCGTCATATCAGATGAGAAATTAAGCTATTAATTGGCAACCATCAGAACTATGTACAAATTTGAGAACCAAAGCCAAATATAGGAATCCCAAGGAAAAAGGACAATTTGACTTATTATAAGAAACATGAGTTTTTGAAATCCAATCCAACCTATTAAAAAATTCAAAACTGAAGTTCCTGAATCCTTAGTTTCATATATTCTTAAAAAAATGCTTCTATTACCTATATAGAGAAAATTAACCACATCTTGTTAAAAAATATTCCAGTAGAAAATTTTCAGTACACATTGTTCAAAAACAGTTGAGACAGAAAATATTTAAGCCAAATAACAATAGGAGCAAGGAAAAGACCAGGCATTGGTGTCAATGGTAGTCATGGATTCAAGTCTCATCTGCATCACTCAATACAGCCTGGTGTCCGGTCCGAAAGCAACTATTAGCCGATGTTGGTATTACACAAAGATTTTGATTCTTGATGGTCATAATAGTAATAAATGGTAGATTAAAATGGTTAGATCAAGAGCTAACTGCGGCACAATGGAGCAATGAGCTGTGAGCTTTAGATTGTATGATTTGAAACATACTTTCTCAACTGTTGAACATCAAAAAGATTGAAGATATATATTAGTTTGCATCAGACATGGAAATTTATCCATAAGTGACATCATGTAGATCACAAAACAATTACGCAAGCATGGAATGGTAGTTTCAGCATCAAGTTGAATATTTAGGAACCAACTTGATGATCTATTTGAAGTGGATCATCAAACCACATAGGAGCCCTCCACATTCAATTCACTTTATGCACATAATACATTTTTTTTAACCAGTTAGCAGTCATTTCATGCATTTATACCTAAAGCAAATAATTTATACCTCTGTTCTACCAGGCATGATCGGTTTTCCTGCAAGCAACTCCGCAAGAATGCATCCAGAACTCCACAAATCAACAGCAACATCATATTCTGTAGCACCAAGCAAAAGCTCAGGGGGTCGGTACCACAGCGTTACTACTCGACTTGTCAATGGCTGTTTCTGATCAGGATTGAAAACTGTTGCTAGGCCAAAATCTGCTATCTTAAGAATGCCGTTGTTGTCAATCAGAAGATTTGAGCCCTTGATATCCCGATGCAGAACCCCTCGACTGTGGCAATGAGCAAGCCCTTCAAGAAGCTGTTGCATATAACACTTTACCTGAAATGGATATGAAGGTCATCAAATATAAGATTTGAGAAAAATCTAGCATGAAGTTGTCAAATATATAGAAAAGAAACCTGTGGTTCAGTGAACTTGGTACCCGGCCTTGCAGCAAGTCCAGCAAGATCATGCTCCATGTACTCAAAAACAAGATACAAGTTGCCTGACACTCGTGATGTAACTACACCTTCAAGCTTTATAACATTTGGGTGATCAAGTCGATGAAGAACGTTAATTTCTCTTGCCATAAAGCGAACACTTTCAGGATCCATATTAACAAATCGCACTTTCTTGAGTGCAACAATTTTACCAGTTACAAGATCACGGGCTCGGTACACATTGCTATAAGTTCCTTGTCCAATCTGCAAAAAGTGACGTATGTAGTGTGTACCATCATTCCAAATGGCCATATAAAACGTTATACAAGACTTCATTATATCACATTCTCTAACAGAGTATTATTGCAAAGAGCATTTGGGACGACCAGATTACTGTAAAAACTCATCATCTCTTATTACTTCATGATATAACCATCAGTTCTGAACAATTCTGTCGATCACATTGTCAATCATAATGCATATTCCCCTTTTCTCCTTAAAAAATATATACTGGTACAATATTTACCACAACAATCAACAGCCTCAATGTGTAATCGATGGAAATCAATGGCTGCATTCCAGTGAAGTGGAAAAGTTTGGAGCAACTTGTCATTTGCAGAACATTTAATACATCAACAAGCCTATAAAGTGACCTTGAATTCAAATGCCAGTTCATCTTAAAAGAATTCTAATCTTCATTCAGAGATAATTTATTGGCATGGTAGTAGTTATAAGTGAAGCAAAGGAGGATTGTACTAAAAAAATCTTAAATCATTCGCATTCATCTTAAATTCGTCTATTGCTAGATTCTCTATATAGGTATATCATGTAGGAAAGTCTTAAGAGTTCCTTACTCAAAAGGCAGAATTTGATATGTTCTTATTTTCGTCATGAAAACCATGATAGATTGAAAAGCCATGATAGATTGATACACTCTACCAGAAAACAGTTATTTGTTTACAAGGAACTCCAAATATTTTGACCGATTGCAACTTACAAGTTGTAGCTATTGGATCAAAATTTCTCATAATTCCAGCATATAACGAAGTAGCTTGCAAAATTTCTTTACTGCAGCAGCATATTAACATTGTGATAATATTAGGATCATCAAAGATATAATGCTTAGTTTTATAATTCTCTCTCTGTTTATTTGCAAGGAAACTTAAACATAAAGCCATTTGAGAATTAAAAACGGTGATACAAACAAGAAAGTTATGTACATATGTAAAATATAAAATAATAATAATCACTTAAGAGGAAGAAGTGTTTTAGAACCTTATCTAGTTTCTCAAATGAAGAAGCTCTCCGAGGTTGCCACCCATTTAATGCTTCCCCAGCTGCAGCAATTAGCCATGAGGGCCAGCCTGCTGCAACATTCTCCCCAGGTAACCCATTCGGCACGTCAACAATTCCCAAGTTGGCTTCTGCCTCATTTGGCCCAGACACAACTTGTGAATTCTCTCTATTTGCCCCAGCAGCCGCAGTTACACGTCTCTGATGCCCCACGCTCTTCCGTATCCTATCGGCACAACCTGCAGCTTTCTTCTTCCCTTCTCCAGTTGGCGGGGGCAGGGCGCTCACCACGTTATCTTGGGGCTTTGACACGGAGTTGGGTTTAGGGTTCCCGCTACTATCAACATTCGTTTTTCTTGCCGCAGAACCCTTTTTCTTCGAGAGCGTGACAAACCGCTTGAAGGACTTTCTTCGATTGGTCGCGCCGTCTCCACCCGGGCTGATGCCTTTGGGGCAAATGCAGCAGCCCATAAGCGGAAAAAAGGCACGGAGTATTCCTCTAATGGTGCCGACTCAATTGATTGACAGCACAAATGCATTTGGTCCGGGTGCGTTACCCAAAGATCACGTTGAATCTTTGGGCTAGTGTCAGGCTCTGATTACAATCTTCACCTGCATTCAACTCGACGAAGTCCAAGAAATCCTAAAATCTCAACGATGCACCAAATCGCTCAGAAACCCAAAAAACACCCTTCTTTTACTTACCCTAAATCTTATAGCAGGATTCAATTCACGGGATCCTTCACAGCAGCATTCAACCTAAATCCAAACAATTTCAAGAACCCGTATATGAACAAGAAACTGAAAGCCCTGACAGCCAATCAGAAGATTACGATCAAAAGATGCCGCCTTCTAGGATAAAAAAAGAACCGCGATTCAATTTAAAAAAACCTACAAGAAAACATCCAAATCTCATTCTTGAAAAGCGAAGATAGAAAACAAAGGAAATTAGAATAATAGATCTTTTCTCTTTTCCTTTACGAAAAATGAAGGAGGAAGAGAAAGATAGAATTCCAGAACAGAATCAAGAGATCGTAAGAGAAACTGAAGCGGGGAGGGTTTTGCGGATCCTCCCGAGCCCTAAAATCCCGCCGAACCAATGCAATTTCTCCCCTTATCTCTTATTTTTCCTCTCCCTTTTTTTCCCTCTAAAGCTCGCTCGGTGAGGCAAGTGATTCACTTTCGGCAGCTTACCAAACATTTTACCCGTGCGATGACTGGGCAATACCAGAGCAAAGCACCTTCGGGTCCCATCTTCGATGATAGGGGTAAGGAGAGGAGTGCCTCTCGCAGTTCGCGCGCCAACTACCGCCGCGATGCTGATCCCGGGGCCGTTCGTTTCGTTCGTGTTAGGAAGGGGAAGCAGTTTGAGTGCAACGGTCGTGATAGGAACCGGTTTGCTGCGTGATTTCGTGTACTGCGGCACATCTTACCACCAGATACGTCAATCTCGTTAGTTCAATGCTCTTTGCAAGAACTAAAATATTATCGATCATCAATAATTAATTTACTTAAGAGAAATTATTACATATCTAATTTAACTATACTCTCATGTCTTCTCCTAATATTACGAAAAATAGATCTCATATACTCAATTTTAATCATACTTAATCTAAAATATTTATTTTTAAGAATTATTTCTCTAATCCTTAAAATTAATTTTACTTCAACTCTCATAAAATAAGATAGTATTATTAAGAGGTGCCTCACTTCCAGTTTACTAAAATGCCCAAAAAAACAAAATAAAAAATCCTTAACCGATGCAATGAACCTCCATTTTAGATAGATGAACTGAATGGATTCATCCTCCACGAAGCAGTTTAATCATTTGTTGACCTCGTCTTCTTCTCTTTCTTTAGCTACGGTAACTTTTCTCCTTCTCTTCAGTAAATTATTAAAATCAGTTAAAAAAATTAAAATATATAAATTTACTACGATGAGTTATTATCAATATGTGATGAAAGTTTAAGGAACGTGAAAAAATTTTGTGAATAGTATAACCATATTAATTGACCATTATAACTTCAAAATTGGAATACGTCAATGTTTATTTGTTAGTAAATTTACTGCATAAAATAATGACTCCATCAAAATTTTAATTTGTCGGATGATTTTAGTATATTTTCATTTGATTCCATGACGGAGGCTCTGCATTTATTATCATAGCTTCATAGTAAGTGTCCGCTGTGCCCCCTACACTTCACCAATATCCAATCCCAAGTCCTCCAAAAACTATGTAATAAATGGAAAATAATGAGGGCATTCGTGTCCGATCACTATATTTGTGACGCCTCGGTTAATTCCCTACTTTGTGTTACCACCCCGCCAACTCGTTTACGGCTCTGTCACAACCATCCTTGTGATGTAGATGCAATAGTGGGGCCCTTTCTATGATTCCATTGTAGTGCAGGTAGGATATGGGTAAAAGAAGAGCCGGGTAGAGGAAGTACTCTCGTCGGCAGGTTCTGCCGACCGTTCTTCCCTCACCTCACCATCACGGGCTATTATTGACGATCCCCGAAGCACCGTCCGATGCGAAATCCACGGTTGAGCCACCGCCTTCGGTGGCTTGGGCCTCCGCACCTCCGTGCGGTTACGTTACCCGGGAATGACAGGCTGTCCCCAGCCGTCCGTGTCGCTACTCGCCCCGCACCTTTTCTTCCTCTCGTTTCCTTTCTCTCGGACCACCCTACCATTTCCCTCTGCCTTTCTTCCTTCCGTCTCTCTCCGCTTCTTCCTTTTAGGGTACCGGGTCTGTGATCTTGCGCCGCTCTCCTCGGTCCCAAGTTCGCCGCTCCGAGAGGTCTCTTTCGGGACCCGGATCTCCGAATTCGGTCCTCTACAACCCGGGAATCATCGTGGTTGAGGATTTTGTTCGAAGAGAATATAATCTCTTGGATTGAATCCAATGCTCGTCTTTGCTGCTTTTGGGGGTAACATGTTTTCCCTTTTCTCGACTTTTATTTTGTCTCTTTGACTTTTTTTCGTTGCAAATGGTTGGTATTGTCGTGGAGAATGGCTTTTAGGTCGTGTATGTGATTCTTTGGGCACTGATGACAACGTTCAAGCTTTAATTTGATTTTTCTCATGATGAAAAGAGGTTTTTACTGATTATTTACAAATCCATTTCTAGTTTCTTTAGAAGATGATGTATTCGGAGAAGTTTTACTAACTGCGAGGGTGGTTCGAGGCACTTTAGTATATTAATGGTGCTTCTGTGTTACAGATGATAAAGCAATTCATATTGTTGCAGAAATTTGTGCTCTCTTGATTAGAACCTGTCCTGTACTTGTAATCTCTCATATAGTTTTGATATTTCTACATCTCTCTGGCTGAATTCATATGCTGCATCAGTCAGATGCTGCATTTTGAGACACAGTACTAGCTGAGGTTTCGTAGCAAGGGTTAAAAAGTATGAACCTGATTTTATCCTTTTCTCATCAGATCCAGCTGTTCTGTGGTCATTGCAAATAGGTTCAGGGTATGCAGAATGCTACTTGATTGGTTAATTTTGGGTGTGGTTTATAGTTTCAGTGTTTTTAGCACATGGCAAGATTGGTGTTGAAACTCTTAGGAATTCGATATGGACACCGGTTGGTTCAACTGAGTTTGATTTCTTGGGAAGTTAAATTTGTTTCTGTTATCTTTAATGGATGGAATTTTTCTACAGGTACTGATACCAGGTGCTTTTAGTGTTGATATGTACATCTTGTTCTTGTGAGAAATTCTAAGATATGCTTTGGTTATTCATCAGATATTTTGTATTTGTATTACTATATCAATTGTATTAATACACAGAGGATATCATTGCTACCCATTGCTCGATACCTTTTGTTTTATGAGTTCCGTAAATGATCATCATGTAACGGAAGCAGAATCCACTTTTCGGAAGCAGAACTTTTTTTTGTGCCCTTTTGATACATGTCATGACTTGATAGAATTAATTTGATGGGTTCATTACAGATTATTGTAGGGGTTCTTGAGGAAAATCTCTTTGCTTCACTGGAATCTATCAACAGAACTCTTGAAGTGGCTATCTTTGTCATACTTGTGGGACATCAGGGATTCGATGCTGGCAGATAGCATGCTTGGAATCTGTCTTTCAGGTGATGCCCCTGACGTCTCTTGCCACCGAGGCATTCGGTGTATCGACCATTTCCCTTGTGTTCCTGACTGCTGCTCTTGGTATCCTATGCATCTTCCACTCTCTGTACTTCCAGTTCTGTATCAGGAGTAGACATTATCCTCATCTGAGCTACTTCAATGGGCCTTGGATTAGCCGTATCATTCTAATTCTAATCTCTATTTGGTGGGGCTTTGGAGAGATTGTTAGGCTGAGTTTCGTGAGATCGAGACTCTTTTCTGACCAAGTATGGCACAAAAGTGTCTGCAAGTTCTACATCCTCTCAAATTTAGGATTTGCAGAACCAAGCATGTTTCTTATGCTATCCTTCCTTCTTCATGCCGCACTGCAGAAAAGGGATTCTGGCACTCTGAGCCCATGGTGGAACAGAAAGACACTCGGTCGCATGCTCCTGTTCTGTTTTCCAATTCTTCTTATGCAAATTGCCGTCATTCTGATAGGACCCAGGTTTATCAATGAAGAGAATAGTGACAAGAGAACAAGGATTGCAAAGCTCTTCAGATGCATATCTTCCTTAACAAATGGTAACAGTGTATGCGTGTATCCCCTGCCAAGCACTATAATTCTTGGGGGCTTCTATGCCATCTTGATCAGTTATATTGCATACGTTGGTATGCGGTTATTCTCTTCGGTTATCAACAAAGGTCTGCAGCGAAGGATTTATGTGCTCACAACATCTATCCTCTTCCTTCCATTGAGGGCTGTTCTCCTGGGAATCTCTGTGCTTCCTCCACCAGGCAACCTGCTGTATGAGGCAATTGTGTTTTTAGCTTTCCTTATGTTGTTATTTTGCACCGCGGTTGGTATCTGCATGCTAGTATTTTTCCCTGTAGCTGATTCCTTGGCCCTGAGAGATAATGGTCATTCTGAAATTGAAGGGATGCCCTATGATGACTACTATTATGATGGTGCTTCTCTCATTGCTAGCCAGAACCATCAAGAGGAAAGTAGGAACTCCCCGGAATCTGCAAAGCATGACTCCATGTCCTTTTGCAGTATGAACTTGGATGGATCAGCATCGGAAGACATTAACAAGCCCATATTCTCGCGTGATCCTATCAGTTCTTCATTGTCTGAGCCTCGACCGCCCCCCCGGTACGCCCATGATACCCCCTGAAGAGTTTGTTGCCCCATGATAAAAACGGGGAAGTTCTTGTTCCTTTGGCCCGTTTCTCTTTTGATGGTTGTACATTTTTGGGTAAAGAAAGATTGTAATATAAGGTATTATGAAGCTGTAGTTGTTTGAACATGGTTTGTTTCTTTCTCATATGGGTATATTGCTTTTTTCCATTTTCCTTACCTACTGGTCTATTTAGATACTGTAAAGTTGTTATAAAGAATTAGTCAGTTGAATATTGTATCAATCTTCAAGACAATACTTCAAATTCTGTGAACCAGCTCAGTACAGCTTTAGTTGAGCTGTGACCTGTCTTTCCTAAAACTGGCAAATCTTGGTGGACAGACATGGCCTGACTGGATTTTGCTTGTGGTGGGCTGTTTATCTTTGGTTTTGTTGGCTGGATTATCTATTCAGCAACTTGCCTTGAAGTATGGTTTGACAGCTACCTTGGTCCAGTTCCAGAGTCACAATACTTGGTGCAGGCATCAATGACAAAGAAGATGACAGCAACATTGCATCATCATAACTCTGGCAGTAATTGGTATGACAGGCAGATTAGAAGAGTATATAATATGTTGCTGTGTGTATAATATGCTATTATTAATTTAATAATGCTGCATTATATTGATAGTTTATAAGGGATTGAATGTAATTTATTATGAGAATCTATATTTATTGGTTTAAATTTAAAACTTGTTTCCAAGACTCTTGAGCATGAACTTTCTGACCCTGTGACCAAAAAATCTAATTGGAATGATATTTTACAATTTCTTTAGCCATA